GGTAAACAGAGTAAAATCTTATAACTTTGAACGGTTGTTAATTGTATATAAGGGGAAGATATACCCTCATATGCTATTTTTGTTTTATGATATGGGACCACACATTTTGCAATATGCATGTATGTATATATACCATCTTTTTTGTTTTTGTAACAATTGGCATAAGTAAAGTAATGTGAATACTTTCATGTGTGTATATATAAATGCATGTCTAAAAAACTTAGGATGTAACAAAAGTTGACATTTGAGTTTTTTTGACTGGTTGGTTCATTAGACGTGTTGGATGAAATAGTAGACGAGTAGTATATAGGTGAATCAAAAGATCTATTGTATTGGGTAGACATGTGTCGTTCACTGATTGGATAAATGAAACTGCAGAATGAATATTTCTAAATATGTTATGAAATTTGATTGGACAGAAAGCATAACATAGTGTAGTAGATAAAATAGCTAAATGACAAACAAGAGAAACAGAAGTTGCTTTGACTTGTGTTACTAGGTGCAATTCAAGAAATTGCATTTTACATTCTTTTTAATATTTTTAATGTTCATCAATTTTAAAAGAATTGGAATAACATTTTTCAAATTATAAAAGAGGAGTTAAAACAAAATAAAAGGAAGGGAATTGTAGAGTTCTTGACCAGACCGGTAAGTAAAGAAGAGAAGTGGGTTTGGTGTAGTAAAGGAGGAGAATGAGATGTTTCACAATTCTAGCTTTAAATTATTGATGTTAATTGGTAGCCAAGTAGCCACCATAGCATTATTCCTTTTTAATAATGTCTTATAAAATCGTATTTACAAATATAGATAGGTAGATTTGACCCCAAAACAAATAGATATATAGATACAGATTAAGTACACATGTAGTACATACAAAGGGTAGGGATATGGGTAATGTATTCTTGGTTTAGACAAAAAATGAACATTAAATGTTCCTTGGCTTTATCCTTCCGCAATGAATTTTCTCTTAACATTTAGACCCCCCAAAAAAAAATGTTGCTTGGTTTTTGCTTCTGGTTCATACTTTTTTTCTTCTTTTCATCAATTATGTTTCTCTTAAGGCCACGTGAGTGAGTGAGGTGTGTGTCAGTCCAATCAGGAATGGGATGAAGATTATGACAATTGATACTGACGAGGTTACAATTCAAAACTAATTAGCAATGAACATATTGATTTATTTACGATCACTTCACAATGTTCTCGAGGCTAATGCGTTCATTAACAAACTTGAAATTCGAAACTTTCACCAGAAAGTCACTAAAACTAAACTCAATCACTATTACATCACACCCAAATTTTGATCAAGTCTTACTGTTAATGTAGTATTGTTGTGGTTTTGTTTAGGCAGGAACTTTTATGATTCGCAAATGAGAACTGAGAATAATTTTAAGTTACGCCAGTTTGATATTTGGTTGAATTCTCGCACTGCAAGAAAGCCGCATTAACCAACTTTCTCGTTCTGTGACAACCGTCAAATTGAGTATGATGCAGGATGTCTCCAGTTCTATTGGAATGTTGACGCTCTACAATACCATTACCAAGAGACATCCAGACTCATTTCGCATCTGAAGTGGCCAACAGTTGTAGAGAACTTGTATGGCTTCCAGAATTCCCCGTCAAAAGTGCTTGCATACTTCACACAAGCTCCTTAACAGTCTGTTGCTAAGGTAATCTTGAGAATCATCATTGTTAATAAAGCTTTAATGGCTACGTAAGGCTTTTAGCTTTCGTGATTCCAAAACCGTTTCATCTCACTACTAGTATAACTAACTCATGCCTAACAATTAAGAAAACAGGCAGATGTAACAAGCATAGCAACTTAAATTTCTGATAGCCAAAAATATAATAATGGAAAACAAAGTCAGAGATCACAAAAATACCCAAAAGCCTCACACAGAAGGTCCTCTAGTACCAAGAAGAAATATAAATAAAAACAAGGTCTTACGAAGCATCCAATACAGTAGTAAGTAGCACCAACATTAGCTTTGCTCAACACTTCTTTGACACACCATCAGTCTTTCCTCTGCGACCAGTAGTCTTGGTGTGTTGTCCTCTCACTTTTGCTTAACGCTTCTTCGACACACCAACAGTCTTTCCTCTGCGACCAGTTGTCTTGGTGTGTTGTCCTCTCACACGGAGACCCCAGTAATGCCTCAGACCACGGTGGTTTCTGTCCATATTTCAAAAGCAGGGAAGAAACATTATCACCATGTTTATGCAGCTGAATAAGATGATATATCATCTGTTGTTTTTATTACCTGATCTTCTTGAGACGTTCAAGATCATCTCTCAGCTTCATGTCCAGTGCGTTGGAGACAACTTGGGAATACTTTCCGTCCTTGTAATCCTTCTGCCTGTTCAAGAACCAGTCTGGAATCTTGAACTGACGTGGGTTAGCAACGATCGTCATGAGGTTGTCAAGCTCGGCAGCAGATAACTCACCAGCCCTGTAAATATAGATCATGTAAGACAACAAACTCGGAAATATGACCATAAACCAACAATATGCTCTACAAACAATTCAAGAAAGCATATAACAATGGATATTAAACAAACTAAATCTAACTTCCTAACTGGTCCCTGTCCATGTTATACGTTGTAGATATCTCCAGTGACAAACAAGTGTTTCCAAAGTCAAAAACTAGACAATACAGCTTCTTTACATTAACATTTACAGCCAAATAAGACATAGCTAAACAGAAATCTAGACATTAGACAGGAGAAGAAGAAAAGGCATTAAAACATGCAAATCACTCTGATAAAACACTAGCATTAACAGAAAGAGTCAAGGAACATTGAGCAGAGCTAATCAACAATCAAGAATCCATAAGAAACCATTGCTATTCAACATTTCAGTTGTCCCGCTTGATCGAATCCGATAACAGAGAGGCTAAAGAAAGCTAAAACTGTATAAGAATAACAAAGAAAAGCTCAAACCTTTTGTTCATGTCGACGTCAGCTTTCTTGCAGACGATGTTAGCAAATCGCCTCCCAATACCTTTGATAGAGGTAAGGGCAAACATAATCTTCTGCTTACCATCAACATTAGTGTTCAACACACGAAGAATGTGCTGAAACTCTTCGTTTGCAACCAGAGACTACACGCATAACAAAAACTCAATCAGCATTTCACAGTAACTCAATTCAAAACGCAAACTTCTCAATCTCCTCTTAATCTACAAGCGATTTCATTGTAAATCAGAAGCATAAGAGCTCCAAGATCCAGGAACAAACACAATCTAAGATTGACTTAAGCTCACTGTTCCCAATTTCTTGGTTTAAACAGTGGATTCGAAAGGTATAGATGAATCTAAAAGCTGGGTTTTATCGACGGGAACCAAACGAATATCGGAAATAAACAATCGGACGGAGGTTGCAGGAGAGCGTGTTAGAAGAGAATAAACGAAATCTGAAACCCTAATTACCATTGTGATTTGCAGAGATGAGGTGAGTGAGAAGAAGCCGTCTTCAAGCAGTGACGATCTCTGCGGAGTATAAAACACACAAAAGAGGCCTGCTTGGGTTTTTCGGTGCTTTATATATATTTCTCATTACTAGGGTTATCGGTATGCAGAACCGTCAAAGACCATTATACCCTTCATGATAAATATTTTTTGTTAAATCTTAAAAAAACGCGAATAGTTATGGATTAATAGGAGGAAGATTACCGGAAGCCTCTTCGTCGTGGTGCATCATTGTGTAGGTCAAAATATTTTTGTGGTCTCGTGTGCCAAAGTAAAGTTATCCATCGTGATTGTGGTGATGCAGGAAGAACGTCATTTGTGGAACCATTCGGTGTATTTCTAAGTGCTTCAAGAGATTAGATTTGTTTGTCAAGATCATCATTAATAATAGGTCAAAAATAGTATACCAAATAGTGTATAGACCACAACCAATAATTAAAAATTAAAAATCGTTAAGTAAACCTAAAAGAGTAACAGACAACAAAAGAAAACTTTGAAAAATTTATTGAATGTTAAGTTGGTTTTCCAACCACCATACCACAGAAGAATTTTATACCGAATAACACGACCGTACTACCCAACTAAAAGGATCTTATCAAAATATTGCAATGGTAGCGAAATATAAAAATGTATCCGTCTTATAATTTGCCTTATAACTATTGTGCAATTTATCGTTTTAACCTTACAACTAGGATAGTTTAGTT